TTCCGAGTTGAGCACTCTACCACAACGCCACACGACCCCACACAGTTTGGTTATTGGTTATGGGGTTAGGCAGCAAGTTTTTATCATTATCTGAGCACCTTTGCAAAGAGGTTTAACCTCCACCCTGCTAAGGTAGCCATTTGGCCCAAAATTTCGCTTATGGGGTTAGGCAGTGGAAACAAGGTTAAAATACATGCAGGAGCATTTTGCAAATAAATACATTTGTATGTATGCTGTTTTCAGTAAAATTTGTAACTTTCGCATAGATGATAGAGTATTGTATTATTGTTAATATCTACACATGTATCCCTGCTCTTTGAAGAAATGATACGGTACAAAATGATACAGAATTTCCAAAAAAGGTGCCGACAAGGCTCTTAGTTGTAATCTAGATTCAAAGTAGAATATGACGCATGTATCCATTGTGAGCTAGTCTGTACATTCAGTGATTTACTGCATGGCTAACCAAACACTGATCATACAGGTTGATTGTAGAGTGCGCATGGTGGTTTCTATAAAAAAAAACTGATTCAGAGCCAACTTCAACATTAAAAGATATGGCATGCACACACTACTTTCTGTTAATTAAAGAACATGAGTTTTACAAATGTGGTCTTTTGACAAGTTTGAAACTTTTGCAGAGTATTGTATAATTGCTAAAATATACCGGTACCCCAGCTGTAATATCATATGATACAGTACAAGATTACACAGAATTTTCCAGAAAGGGGCTTGGTTGTAATCTAGATTCACAGTAACCTGTGATGTCTGTGAGGTAGTCTGTACATTCACTGCATGGTTAAGCAAACATTGATCACAGTTTTCACATGGGTTGATTGCAGAATGCACATGGTAATTTCTAAAGAACTGATTTACAGCCAACTCTAACATTAAAGGATTTGGCAACCACATACTACTTTCTGCTAAGTGTGCACGCTTTAACCAGGGACATATATTTCAAGGTTGCCAACCAGCAATTTTCACCGACGGTTAAATCAATATTTAGCCGGTTGAAAATGGGTTAATTAACTGTATGAAGTCATAGTCTGAGAGTAGCATTCAAACTCACTCGACCTGAATTTCAAATGGCATGTTGCTCGATAAAAATAGAGAGACCTATTGTTACGTTTTACCTATACCAACTATAACCAATTTGCACAACAGCAAAAAAATCTAACCTAGCAAAATGGCAAGGTTCAAATTGCTGCCCCAAAATTGGAGCTGTGCACCCATTCTTTTTTCTGTGTGTGCACTGGTGCACCCATATATTTTTGTACGTATTTTTGCATACAGGATAATCTTGGCATCTACGTGTCAGAAAAATAATAAAATCTTTGTTGTAGTAATGTTTCAGATTTTGAAGTTAGCTCTCATTTTAGATTCAAGCTCAGAAGAGGAGCAGTATGATCTGTAATTAGGTTTTGTTTTATATGGTGCACCCAACAATCTTTCTGTGCACCCAATCTTTTAGGTTGGGTGCACCAGTGCACCTATTCCCAAAAATGAATTTCGAGCCCTGTATCCATAATTGAATAAAGCATTAAACAGCTGAAAGAAGAACTCCTGCCTATACCTGTTCCAACAGACGAATGCTCTTCTCCAGAACGTTGTTGTTCCTGAAGAGAAGCAGTGTCTGCTCTGCGATGGTGGACAGGTGCAGGATCAGGCCTGGCAGGGACAGGATGTGCACCAGGAATGCCGTCAGCAGGTGCTGGGAAAACTGGTCAACATATAAACAACAACAAAACTGTAAACATTCTTGACAATTTACTAGTATTGGCACAACCAAAGAGTTGGACTATGATCACATACATGGGCCTATAGAGCTATGACAGAAATCTTGCAGCTGATCTAGCTTGTTGTTGTGGACGGTGACGAGCTTGAGTGAGTGGAGCCATCACTTCCTCCCATCCTGCACAGCCTTCACCTCCTTCCAACTTGACCTTAAGGTCAATCTACAGTAACCAAATTTTACCCTCTCCCTCCTGTCAGTCTACTGCACTCAAATACGTACCAACACAAGCAAATAAACAGACACACTCAAAACATACCTCCATAACCGGATACATATATACATTCAATATATTGTTTATACTATAATTATATCTTGTAATACTATTTTACTTCTTAGTTTGTGATTTTCACGGTCACTAGTACATACTCCACAAACTCATCACTGCCATGTACAGGTGCCCCCATCAATAGAGAAATTGCACTCTAGAGTCTCAACCACAAAGTCTTCATCTTAAATCACCCACAAGATGTACATTTATGGTAGGTGCAGCAAACTTAATATGAATTTACAGCATACCCCTTGGTAGTCTAATGTGAATAAATTGCATTTTGAATGCCAACTGTACAGAAGATGTTGTACCTGATATACATGACTTACCTGTGTAGAGATGAGAGGTCTCATGGAGATGGTGACAATGGCTGCCAGTGCTGCTCGCTTCAGCGTGGGCTGGGACCGCTCCAGTCCCCTCTTCAGTAGAGCCTGCAGGATCACGTAGAGATCCTTGGACGTCAAGTGTCCGAGAAGATTGGCACACAGCTGGTTCATCCCCGGGCGTAGCGCCTCGCTGCCCTTGATCTTCAACACCTTCCAGGTGGTGGTGTCGGTGAAGATGACCACCATGTTCAGGTACAGACTGACCAGCTTGGACTGGTCATTGTTGTCCGGCTTGAGCGTCTTCAGGTAGCAGCAGCACTGCCACAGCAGCTTCTTCATCTGCTGTATCCATGGCAACACATGTTCCTTGCTGAGAGCCAGCGACACGTACCAAATCTTGGAGTCTCCCTCCACCTCCATGGAGGCCAAGATGTAACGACAGAGAGTCTGGAACAGGACATGGTCTTTCTTTTGGTCAAAGAAGTAGAGGAATCTCTCGGTGGCCTTGAAGACGGTCACAGCTGGTGCAAACTTGGCCTTGTCGGGAGAGCTAGTCGGGCTCACCTCCCGCGCCCACCCGATGAGAGACTGTAGATCGCCCTGCGTTTGTTTCCTCAGGCTGGAAACGGCCAAGAATCTTCTCACCACCGCCTGGATTTTTGTAGCAGAGTGGTCTCTCCGTATCTCCTCCTGTCTGTTGACGCGAGCGGACTTCTTTTCGTCCAGGAAGGACGCCTTTTTGTCTTCGTACGGGGCGAACATGTCGAGTTCCTCCCTCCGTGGCGCCGCCGCGATGTGCTAGACTGGGCAGTGCTGGTATGACGTGATGTCCGCAGCGCACCGTAACGTTACGTTATTACGTCGGTAAAGAACTTGAGAGATCCCCGTTGCGTCGACCTAACGTAGAGATGTTGACATCCTCATATCACTCCTTCCAACTCACCTGCAGCAAAGAAAAACACACAATCACCTCAAAAATACGTATCCAGATTCTACACACATTTCCGTCACAAGGAGTGGTCAACAGAAGATTTATGAAGTTGTGAAATTAATTAAAATCAATAAAAAAACATCCGAAAAGACGAAAATCCCACCCTCTGGTCGCCATGATGAACGTAATGGATGATGGGACATCCGCATGCGCAATGCTGTTACTTTTGAGATAAACATTTTCTTCTGAGCTCGCCGATGTCGAAATTCTGCCTCGAGGATCGCGCGTTTTCCACAAAAATTTAGCCGTTTTTCCGTCAGATTTTTACTCACTGCTGTACACAAGGATGTGAAGGGAAACTAGCGGTATGTTCCCTTCTCCATGGACCTCTACCCGTCTTTTACATGTAGCAATTGAACGTTGAATTTTCCCGGGAAACCCAAGGAGAACCTTCGGGGCCATGTCGACTCGTAGCCCGAAGAGGGACTACGACTATCTGCTGAAGTTTCTCCTCGTCGGAGACAGCGATGTCGGAAAGCAGGAGATTCTGAGTGGCTTGGATGACGGAGCAAACGATTCCCCTTTTGGATACGGCTGTGGTGAGTTAGTATGAAGAGTTCTGGGGGCATTATTCGGGATGGTATTCGGATGCCAGCCCCAAAATTAACCTTGCTTTGTAGCACTACATGGACGCTTTTGTACGCTCCAAAATGTTAATTTTTTTGCATGCCTGCTTCAAGCTTTTGAGCCCATATTTCTTTGGCTCAGTCTCTATTAAGGTTACCATATAGACCAAATACAAAAGCAGGACCGATGCAGCTCACATTCCAACCTTGTTATCAGTTTTTGCTGCGGGCGGAACGAATCCAAAGAAGCGAGCCCGTGGGACAGATACAGCCCCCCTCCCCACCCCCGTAAACAAAAATGCCCTTCTAAGTTTTGACATCTCGCGTTACCTTCTGGTAAGCTGCTTTTAGCAGAACTTGGCACGCAGCTAGGAAATGTAGTTGGACTGGTCTTCTGTAGGTGTTAGATGTTATCCTAACACCATAGGATAGTGTGAAAAACAGTTGTCTTGTTTGGCTAGTTGAGTTATTGACTGGCCAATCTGTTCTTTTCAAGTTCAACAATGGTTTGTCTACAGCTGTCAGACATTGGCCTTCTAAATGCAAGGTTTACATCCTTTTATTTTCATAGATACACATTCCAAATGAGGTGATGATTGACTTGTGGTGATCTCTGATTGTCTTGAAATATCATGGCCTTATCAATGAGTTTATAACTATTGCTTCATCATTTACATGATAAAGAGAGCAGCTGTTGATGTGAGGTGTTGCAGATGGAGAAATCTACTCGTAACTTCAACATGAACTTCATTGCACAACAAAGCAAAGCAGCTAGTCTTATCATTTGCAAGAAGAAAAGGTCCAGACTCTATTGTCTTCTCAAACATGTTCTTTGATAATGGGTGTTTGTGATCACAATTAAGACCAATGTAAAGGATTTGAATAGACAGAAACGAAGTGCGTCAACAGATATCTTTAGAAACCCGCACTCTCAAAGTGGCAGATGTTTCTGACAGTTTTTAAGGTGTTCTGCTCTTTAGCAGGACTTCAGGGGTCCCCTGGCCTGGAGACTGATAAGTTGTTGTTCTGCTGGAGTCCTTTATCATGTGTTGAAAGCGGGGCACCACATGTCATGACATGCTACAGGGGCGGCAGGATCAGTCCTGGTCTTTGTGATGGAAATAGAGAGCACTCCCCAAGTCTGGCAATCCCATCTACATTCTATTTCCTAGTCCTTCTATAAGGCCACAGCAAGTAAATTTTATGGATGACATCTTCCACAGACTCCAAATCTAATGTGAGCGGGCGAAAAAAAAAACAAGGCAGCCTAAAAAAACAAGGTTCCTACATTTTAAAATTTTGACTCAATCATTGTACAAATGGTTTTTATGCGGTGGGAACATCACATATACACAGCCAACATCACATATCACTGCATCAAAGTAAGAAACAAAACATTAAATCAGAGCCTTTTCTTGTCTCCTCTCTTTATAGTTATCTGGCAACCACCTTCCAGCATGGCAACAGACATCTTTGCCCATTTTTGGCATGTTGACCACTGTCAGAAGGCAACAATTTTTTTTCTTTCCAAAATCAGGCGAAAATTAATGCGCGCATTGATGTCATCCATAAGAATTACTTGCTGTGGCCTAATGCTGCAAATTTCCACTCCAGGCCAGGGGATGTTTCTTTGATACACTTCTCAGCAAGTGTTTGTGTTGATTTAATCAAGTGTATGATGTGTACTTCTGCTTGTCCCTAGTGACCAAGCCCTGAAGTGTTTATTATGAAGGTAGTGAAGGAACCAGATTGTCTGCTTTCCTCATTCCACCTCCAATCTTCCGCAAAGAAAGAAATTAACATTTCCTATTAGGCCACAGCAATTTAATTTGTTGTTTCTCAGATGTTTTCAGAAAAAAATATGGAGCGACAGGGCTAAAAAAAAAAACAGGTCAAGGCACCCCATGATAGCCAGAAATGTTACAATATGAGCCATGAAATGAAGATACCAGGCTGGTTGATTTTGAACTTTTAATGAAACAAAATTGCACTATTACATTGAAATACTTTAACAACTAGAAAGAAAAGGACTTTCTTCAACCATTGGGGCCAAAATATGTCTTTCATTGAGCATTTTGTAGTTGATTTAGATCTAGAATAAAATTTTTTTTTTTTCAAATCAGAAAAAAATGGATAGGGCGAATCTGAGAAACATCAAATTAAATTGGTGTGGCCTTAATGTGCCTATACTGGTGCTGTTGGTCAGTTCTTTAGCAAGGCTGGTGTCCAAAGCATTTGTGCTGATCTATCCATTTTTCTGAAGGTTCTTTAGCTCAAGAATGGGACAAAAGATGGCGGTATGGTTGAAAAGAAACTTAGGAAAGAGATCTGGAGGATGTAATTATTGCAAACAATAGACCAGATTTTTCTGAGAGCTCTTGTATTCCCCAACAAAGCACGTTTTCACCTGACTTGCTCTGGTATCTGCATACTAGTAATCGCTTTGCTGTGCAATAAGGTTGGATTTAGAGCACAGATAAACAGCATGATAGGCTTCATGCATATCCCTCTGTTGTGAGATCTGCATTTTCTTACATCAAGAATATAGCTATAGGAATTACAATACATAATCCATTTGTATTAGGATACAAATCTGGTAATAATATAGAGTATTGTGCTGTTACTACATACTATGAGTCAAGCAAGCCAACTTTGGATGCAGTGGTGACTCAAGATTTGGCAAGATTGATTGAAAAACTATATAGAAAACCTTGACAAAACTTAGAGGGAAACATAATTTTTTTTCTAAGGAGAAGAATTTTTTTCATGTTATTATATTTTCTCTCAACAAAAGACTATGGTTTATTCATTGATGTTTGATAATGTCAAATAGTATTGATTTTAATAAAAGAAAAGCCCGCGGCAAATGTGCGAAGTGCAACTTATCATTGTGTATAATCTAGTTCATATCAGTTATCATCACATATGTTAAATTGTAGACATGGCTGTGAATGAATGTAGTAAATCTATGTCTTCCTATCCTGTGATTATAAGCTACTGCTGGGCTTGAAATTCATTTCTGGGAATAGGTGCACTGGTGCACCCGACTTAAAAAACTGGGTGCACAAAAAATTATTTGGGTGCACCATATGAAATTTCAGCAAAAACTGATTGTTTCATTTTTAAAGAAAAATACTACAAGGATTTTCTTGTTTTTCTGACACTAAGACGTCAACAATATGCTGTATTACTAATAGTATACATTTAACATCTTACGTAAACCTGGAAAAATATTTGGGTGCACTGTTGTACCCATAGAAAAACATTGCGTGCACAGCTCCAAATTTGGGTGCACTAAGGTGCACATGCACCCAGTATTTCGAGCCCTGTACTGCATAGCTGTTATTTTTGACATATCACTTATTCGCCTTTGATAAAGTCCTCTGGGATCCCAGCACTGCATGCAATATTCCCCACCATTCCTTGGGACCTTAAACCGGATCTATTCTCCCACATTCCCCCAATACCTTTCCCCTCGTTTAGATGCTGATTTGAGAAGTGGAGGCAATCTAATCAAGGCTGTATGAAAAGCTTGAGAGGAAGTCCAATTTAGAGTAATGGAGAAGGTGTGTACAGATATATATAGGTCAGTCAGTTTTCTAGGTCAAATTGGGAGTGGTAACTTTTCAAAATGTTTTCAAAATTACAATAAAGCTTACATAAAAACGTTTTAATTTTATAATTTCATATAACATGTAGAAGCATATAAGTGAGATAGTTATTAGGCTGTATACTGTTCAGTTTCTGACATACATGTATGAAACAGCCAAATAGAAGGTTTGCCAATTGTAATGACATTGTTTGCATACAGGCTGCTTTAATTACCAATCAGAAATCTCATGCATTTCAATGGGCCAGGCTGGCTGTGAAATAGGTCTTTTATGGCATGGTTGCTATGAAGTAATGTATGCTAATGTCTCATGCACAGAGATTAGATGCTCCACCTTGCCTGCCATTATTCCCTTGTAAAAGATTAAATCATCAGAACTGAATGAAAGGTTGTAAGTTGTTGACAGGTAGCACAATAGTGCAGAATTAGTGACCCAATTATGATGAATAGGCTCAGCCACTGTTTTTTGGTCAAGATTAGATTTTTTAAATATGTTTACAACCCTTTTATTGCTCTTATCTTTGTATATGTTTAATATATACAGGTTAACGATTTTGAGAGTACAAGGCAAAATAAACTCATAGAAGACTTTTTCTTTCCTTCCCTACAACAGTAGTTTTCTCCAGCGATTGAACAATGTTAGATTATGCTGCCTATTGTGACTCATACATAGGCTAGTTAGAGCGTAAATACAAATTAGTGCCATTGTACATGTAGGTGCTTATCATAGAGCAATGCTACATTGTCCCATGCATCTATAATCCTTTACAGATATCTAAACCGTGCAAGTAACCAGGTAATTTATCTGTTTACTTGTTGTATCTCGCTCAAGCTGCTAGCCTCATATGTCACCCATTGTGGTATACGTGACCAAGAACATGCAAGTGTGCTCGCCAAGTGTGTTGATGAAAAGCTCCAATTTACTTTGTAACTAAACCTCAGTGTTTTCCCTTACTGTTTAGTTTTCTTTTAGCTTGGTGGAAATGATTTCATTGCATAGATTAGAATAAGATTACTGATTTTTTTAACAAAGTTACAGTAACGAAAAGCAAAGTTTTTACATTTTGTATTGTATAGAGAGGAATAATGCAAACCCCCCTATGTATTTGACTAGTATTCTGTCATACCGGTAAGTTGTCACAAATTTCCCAAATGTATGGTTCGCCACACCTGTCTCCCTACAGACTGTCAATCATTAGGTGCATGGATGAGCCCACAGCAGGTGGAAAGTTAATTAAACGGGACTGATGGTTCATAACTACACCACCAATGGGATTTGTGCTGTGCTACTTTGTGCTACACAAGTTTGTTTGGATGGATGGATGGAGGGCAGGAGGGATAGCGGGATAGATGTAGGGATGGA